GTCTTTAAAGCAGCCAGGAAGAGAGGATACATTAGCTATAGGGAAACACAAATCCCAATGACAGAAGATTTCTCATCTGAAATCATGGATATCTGAAGGAAGTGGCATTTTTCAAATGCTGAAAGTAAAGACCTGTCAACCACAAATTCTATAAAGAGAAATAGCTGACAAAGTCTTAAGAAAACTAAAAAACAGGGAATCCATTGGTTTCCAGTGGTCCAGTGGTTAGGACTCAGCGCTCCCACTGCCAGGGGCCAGGGTTCAACCCCTGGTCGGGGAACTAAGACCCCAAGAGCTGCCTGGCATGGCCAAAAAAAAAAAAAACGAAAAACTAAAAAACGGCAAACTACTCTACAGTTTACATCTTAGCTCTGAGGAATTATAAAATTATAAAAATTATAAAATATGCTGATATTAATATATGAGCAATTACAAGTTTTTCCTATAACAGTAATTAATGCTATTCACATAGGCTTTAATCCTACTTCCTTAATTCTCTTAGTTAAAAAGAAAGCTCTGGCTTCCCTGGTGGCGCAGTGGTTGAGAGTCCGCCTGCCGATGCAGGGGACACGGGTTCATGCCCCGGTCCGGGAAGATCCCACATGCCGCGGAGCAGCTAGGCCCATGCGCCATGACCGCTGAGCCTGCGCGTCCAGCCACAACAGTGAGAGGCCCGCGTACCGCCAAAAAAAAAAAAAAGAAGAAAGTTCTGCCACTGTTCAAGATCTTTATCAATTGGACAGTTTTTGTTCTAAAGATTCCAAAGCTTATAAGCCTAAAATCAGAGCTATTTGTTTAAAAAAGATATATCTGCTTCAACCATATGGAATAAAATCTATTTTAAATAGTATCTGCTAAAGAGGAAGCCTGAATGAACCTCTATAATACTGTCGTAGTTTAACCATCTTAAAAGCCAAAGCATAAGAGCAAATATTTCTCTTAATGCACTCTAATTTATAGAGTGTGTGTGTTTTTAAAACAAGAATGACTGTGCAGGTATGACTAGTGACCTGTTAAGCAGCCAAAAAAGAAACAGCTGGTCAGCTTGCAAAACCGTGAATTCAGTGATCTGTTTTACATTATTTACCAACTGATTCATTCAGCCAATTTTTATCATTTCTAAAATATACCAAGTATTGTGCTAAATTGTGAACAGAATTGTGAACAGAAAGTAAAACCCTAAGGAATACCACATTAATCTGAGGGAAAGCATATCAAGGCAATGTTTTATCAAGGCAGTGATGAAAAGATAAATAAGGCACTGTGATATTGTGATATTATAAGATTTATTGTAGAATAGAACAGTGTTTCAGTCTTCATCCCTGGTTCCTAGCATAGAGCTCCTAAAACCCTTAAATATCTTGATAGGGGTGAGAGGAACATCTTTTGTTATTCATAATAGGGTCCTTTCAACCACATCTGGGAAGATGGGAGCTGGTTGCCAGAGGAATCAACCCCTGACCTCTGGAAGGGGAAAGAAGCTAATAACCAGCGGCCAGTGATTTAATCAAGTATGCCTATGTAATGAAGCCTCCATGAAAATCCTAAATAAAGGGGTTGGGAGAGCTTCCAGGCTGGTGAATACACTGAGGTGCTGGGAGGATGGTGAGCCCAGAAGAGGCATGGAAGCTCATGGAAGCTCCATGCCCCTTCCCACATACCTTGCCCTATGCATCTCTTCCATCTGGTTGTTCCTGAGTTACAGCCTTTATAATACAGTAAATGGGTAAAGGTAAGTAAAGAGCTTTCCTGAGTTCTGTGAGCCATTATAGCAAATTACTGACCTGAGGAGGGAGCTGTGGGAAGCCCCAGTTTATACCCAATTGGTCAGAAGTACAGGTCACAATCTAGGACTTGTGATTGGTCTGAATTTGGGAGGAGTCGTGCAGGACTGAGTCCTTAATCTGTGGGGTCTGCACTAAATCCAGGTAGTTAGTAATAATTAAGTTGAATTGTAGAATACCCAGTTGTTGCCTGGAGAGTTGGACAAGTATTTAATGTGAGGGGAAGACCTACATGTTTGGTATCAGAAGTGCTCCGAGTAGTATAAGAAACAGTAGTTTACCTTTAGGCATAATCCCAGACCTCAAGGAACTCCTAGTCATGACAAAAATGGGCCCATGAAAAATAATTTAAATAAAATGTGATAAGTAGTTTAATAGGTACATGTACAAAATATCAGGAAAGTAGGCAACTAACCATGCCAACAAAAGTGACATTTATGCTGATTTATAAAGGATGAGTTAAATGCTATATATAGTTCCTCAGGGTTCTCACTCCCTCTTAGAGCTCTCAAGCCAGTTCTCAGCCCTAGCTGCCTGTTACTGCCACATGAGAAACTTTTTTTTTTCATACACACACACTGTATTTTATTTTTACAAGAGGAGAAACATTTTTTAAATGAAAAGGTCTGGCCCCACACCAGACCAAGAATCAGAATCTCCTGGATGCCTTGATCCCCTCATCCTTTTTTTTTTTTTTTTTTTTTTTTTTTTGATCCCCTCATCCTTAACCTTTAAAAGCTCCCCAGGTGGTTTTAAAGTAGAGCCTGGGTTGAAAACGGCCTACTCTGTTCAGGAAAAACATAACCCAGACCTCAACCAATCTTCTGGCAATGAGGAGAGAAAGAAAAGAATTTCAGGTAGGAACAATAGGATCTATGGTAGACGTAATGATAGGAAAGAGGAGGATTCTAAGGTTTCTAGGGTGAAGACCCTAAAATAGGAAGCTTGTGGATGTGCTTGACGCAGCTATGAGCAAGATGAGGGAAGAGAAAGGAAAAAATAACCAAGTTTGAAGTACCAAGTATCCAAGTATAGTTACCCAATAGACAGACGAAAATACGAAACACCTGAAAGTTCAAGAAAAATGGGGACTGAATATACATCTTTGAAAACCAAAAATATACAGGTGCTACTTAAAGCCATGAAGGGAAGTGTACTCACACAAGGAAATTAGAGGACAGAAAAAAGAACAGAAAGTAAAACCCTAAGGAATACCACATTAATCTGAGGGAAAGCATATCAAGGCAATGTTTTGTTTTTGTTTGTTTTCGTTGGTGAAAACCTGAGCATGTGTGCAGGCTGAGAAAAAGAGAGAGAATATAGAATAGGAAAGATGTTAGTCAGCCTTAGAAAGTAACACCTTCTTCCTCTGGTAAAAGGAAAGGAGATCAGGTATCAGAGAGGTATAAGCACACAGAAAAATGACACACCCTTAAGAGTTCAGGGCTGATGCCCACCAATTTCTTCTGTGAAGTAGGAGACAAGATAAGCAATGTAGAGAAGTCAAGAGTAGGACAAGGAAAGGAGAACGGTAAAAACCTACAGACAGCAATTAGGTGTGGGTACATAAAAGGAAGCTGAGGAGTAAGTCAAAGCATCTCCAGACAGTGCAAGTGAAATTGGGATCCAGAAGTCTAGAACAGCCCCAGCGGCTGTTACACACTTTCCTCCAGCCTGCTCTGGAGACCCAAGGAGCAGAAAAAGCCGACTGTTTGATTCATCCAGGCTTGGAAACCATCAGAGCAAATGTGGCAAGAATGGCTTGAGGCCAGTAACACTGCTTTTGTAATTTTAAAAAGTCAAACTTATTTTACTCTTTTTAAAAATCGACTATAGTCATTTCCTCTGAGAGCCAGAAAGGGGGACGGGGGTGGCTAATTCCTCTTTCACTCTTAGAGAACTTGTCAGAACTTCCACTCCTAAGCATTTTGGTCCCTTCAACAGTTGATTCCAAGAAATCTGAACCTGATTCCTCCCGGCAGACTCTTAAAGGATGAAAATTCACTGCAGACTGGACTATCCAGCTGGGAGATAAACATGTGAAATACTTCTTACACACAATGCTATTTCAACTAGGAGTTAGGGGCTCTTTCTTCCCTAAAAAATAAAGGTTCAGCAAACACCAGATTGGGGGGGTTTAAGGGGGCAATTACATTGCAAACATTGTTAAGAATACTTTACAAAGCCAATTATTATAAAACAACACATGGCACAAAGAGAGCAGAATTCAGTTCTTCGGGATGACTGCAGTGAGTAAATAACTGACAATGTAATCTCTATCACACTTGGAGTTCACTAATTCATCCCGCCACCTCCTATACCACTCTTCAGGTAGCGCATCAATTCCCTTTGGATGCTGGACCTCTTGCTACCACCATGGGGAGAGTACAAAGGCCTGGAAGGAGGAAGATGGTAAGACGTGTGAGCACCTACCATGTACCAGGCCTACTGTGTGCCAGACTCTGGGCAATACACTTGACACGTTATGGGTGCAGCTCACTGAAAGACGAACTACGGTGTTAAAACTACAGACCGGGCATTCAGGAGAGTCGCAGTATCTGAAGGTTTCAGTGTAAAGGAAAAGAAGTGTTAGCGACGGTGGCTGATGGAAGCGAAGGGAGAAGGGGCGAGTTGGGAAAGGAAGGCAACTGGGAGCAAACGGGCAAAACCCAGGAATACATGGCATGGGGGTGGGAGGGCGCGAGTGAAATGTCCAGAGGACACCGTATAGGAAGCAAGGATAGGGTGAGACTGAGGAAGGGAAGCCCGGGTATAGGTGAGGGCAAAAGTCCAATCCGGGGGGGCCAGGGCGTCTCATCCCCGGCAGGCGCCCCGAAGGACCGCGGGGTCTGGGAAACGATGCCAGCCCCGCGAGAGAGAGGGAAAGGCGCGGAGGGGGCGGGAGGGGGCGGGAGAGGGCGGGAGGCCGACCACGGCGGGGGCGAGCCGGGCTAAAAGGAAGCCCGAGACAGGGAAACGCCGGCGCTGGGGGAAGGGGTGGGCGCCGGGCCGGGCCGCCCGGCTCTGCGCTGAGGGGGCGGGGCTGGACAACCGCCCGAGGGCAGAGGGGAGATGCGGCGGCCGGCGGCGACTTGGGCCGAGGGATGCCAGGACAGAGCCGGCCGGGACTCGGAGCTAGGTGAGCGGCGGCGGGAGCACAGCGGGGCCGGGGCGGCGCTCCGACCCGAGCCGCAGCGAGCGCGGCGTCCCCCTTACCTGGGATGAGTGAGGAGCCGCCGCGCCGCCTCCCCAGCATCCTCGGCTCAGCTGCTTCTCCCACCGCCCTAGGTGAGGGCCATTCCACCCACCCGGGAGCCCGCCCTCACCGCCAGGCGCCAGCTGCTGCCAGCCCGGCTCGGCCGCGCGGAGATACGCCGACGCGACCCGGGCCCGCGGCCGCCTCAGCAGCGACTCCCCCAGTCGCCGCCTTAGCGCCTGCAGCCGCCCTCCCGGACGGGCGCGGGATCACACGCGTGCGGCGATTGGTTGCCCGGCGCCCGGTCGGGGGATATGTCGGACTCTCTGATTCGTGGGCTCCGCTGGCTGCCTTCCCCCCCGAGGGGGGCGGGGCTCGGCCTCCCTCCCGGTCTGACAGGCGCTGAGGGGCGGGGTGGGTCTGACGTCGGGGCCGCCCGGGCGTCCCTGCGTCCCTGCGTGTGCGCGCTCCCCGCGGGGTTCTGGGGCCGCCACCTGTGTGAGAGGGTTGTTGCCGAGCAACGGTGCGCGCGACCTAGCTGGAGGCGAGCCGGCGGCAGGTGGCAGTCCACCGTAGCCCCAACCTCCAGCGTGGGTGCCCTTCAGCCTTGAAACCCTGGGACAGGACAGGAGAATGAGCTTTTCCAAGAAATCCTCTCTCTGCTTGTCCTTGCTTCAGAAACCACCTCTGTGCTGTTGCTGGCAGAGGAGCTTTCATCTCATTGAGGTGACTCAAAAATATAAATATCAAATTCACACATTTCATTACACACCAAAGTGAGTGATAGATTCTGTCCCCACCACAGGGGCGGGGAACTGATACTTGAAAGAAAGAAGTGAAAACTAGGAAAGGAGAAAAGGGCAAAGAGATGGGGGACATTGGGGAGAGGGCTGAAATTTCACAACTGAAAAATACCCGTTCGTGTTCACAATGCCTACAGGTATATCCACACGAGGTCCTGTCAAAGCAATTATTTCAACTCTATAAACATACATTGGAAAAAGCATAGGCTCAGGAATCTAACAGCTTTATTCACAATGCCTATCTACCGTCTTGGAATGAGTTTTGTTATCTATAGAAAGAGGTCTGTAGAATATGTACCTCAGAGAGTTGCTGTAAAGATCAAGTGAAGTCCACACAAAAATTTGTACACGAATGTTCATAGCACCGTTATTCATAGTAGCCAATAAAGTGGAAATAACCCAGATGTCCATCAACTGATAAATGGATAAGTAAAATATGGCATATCCACACAATGGAATATTATTGGGCCATAAAAAGAAGTGAAGTTCCGATACATGCTACAACAGGATGAATCTTGAAAATATCGTGCTAGGTGAAAGAAGCCAGTCACAAAAGACCACATATTATATGAGGCCCTTTATATGAAATGTCCAGAATAGGCAAATCCATAGAAAAAGCAAGTACATTAGTGGATGCCTTGGGCTGAGGAGATTGGGGGGAAATGGAAAGTGATTGCTAATGGCTATGGGGCTTTTGTGGGGGGAGTGATTGATGAAAATCATCTAAAATTGATTGTGGTGATGATTGTGCAATTCTGTGAATATCCAAAAAAATTGAATTGTGTACTTAAAGTAGGTGAATTGTACGGTATGTGAATTATATCTCAATAAGCTGTTATTTTTTAAAAAGAGCAAATAAGGTAACAAACCTCTGAAAGCCCCAGGCTGTGATGCCGCTCTAAGAACCAGGGCTCAGTATATCTAACTGTTTTCTCTTTATTCAATTGGCAAAACCTTGTAAGCAGTTTGACCTGAGGAAATTTAAAGAAATACCCACCACAATATTTTTCTATGGAACATTTAAATCAAATGAAGAAGATGATCTGATTTGACCCAAGCTGCTTTGGTGCATCAGAAATGATCCACTAGGATTACAAAGCTCACCAAAAGAAAATGAACAACATCGGCAGGCAGAAAGCAAGAGGAAAGGGAAAGGACACAGCATTCTACAAGGTGATTCTAGATACATCTGCACCCAAAGTTGTTTGTTTAACAAGTCTTTTAACTTTAAGTAAGAGCTGTGTCCCATTCCACTCCCTGCATTCCAGACCCCTTCAGGGAAACAGCTCACCCTGACCTGAGTAATCTTGAAGCCACGGCCAGCACCATGGAGTGTTAATCCCTTAAACACAGCCCCTGCCATCGTCTCTCCACAAGCCAGAAATGCAGCTCTGAGATGACCTCCACAATACCCAGAAAATACTTCACCTACCTACAAGACCTGAAAACAAAAATTTGAGTAGCCAGGTGGGGGCTTGCTGCTGGTATCTCACATATAAACTCTGAGAACAAATTCCAAATGTGAGGAATTCAGTAAGAAGGGGGGACATGAATCCCAGTGAAATCTGGCAGGGAGGTTGACTCCCTGCCCGTCCTGTGGCAGGATGTCTCCCTGAGCAAGACAGCTTCAGGTGGCCCAGGGACCACACTGTCTGTAAAAAAAAACAGCCCCAAACAAGGAGCTGCTTGATCTGAAGCAAAGCTCAGGGTCATATGGGAACAAGTTTTTCTGCTTTCCAAATCTACCCCCAACCCATATATGTTAAGAAAAAAGTCTCCAAAATATACTCTTAAGTGAAAAGAACAATGTTAAAAACAGTATATATAATATGTCCATTTGTATTTTTTTCAAGTACACACACACACACACACACACACCCTTGTAATTTTCAGAGACAATCTCCAAAAGGATGCACAGTAAACTGGCAACAGTGGTTGTTTCTGGGAGGGAAACTGAAAAACTTGGGTACAGGAGAGGGAAAGACATTTATTTTTCACTATGTATATACTCTGTGGCACTTTTTAAAATATTGTGCCCTGTGCTTGGATTACCTATTTAAAATGAATAAATACATAATTTTTTTTAAGAGAAGAACTCTCTTCTGGAAAACTCACTGATCAAGCCTATATGAATATCTGGTTTATGTGACATATGTATTGCTCTGTGTCATTTAGTAAGTCTCATACTGAGTACACATACTCTGAACACTCTGGATCTACTTTCTCTCTCCCCAGCTTTACCTCTTGCAGGTGATCAGCTCAGACTCAGAGAACCTCACCTGAGGGCCTAGACAGCTTCGTCCCCTGGCTGATAGGCAGTTCAAAGGCTCAGAGATTGTTTCTTCCAAACAGGCTGGTAGGCCCAAGGAAAGAGAGGAAGTAGACAAGTGCTCGCTGACACCCCAGTGAGTACCCGGAAGACACTGTCGTCTTCTAGTTCAAACTTTGCCCGGCTTCTACTTCAGGGAGTCATCTCCCAGCAAGAAGGCCTGGCTGAGAGTAAGTGAGGACACCTTCCTACAGTCATCTCACCTCCTGGAAGGAGAGTCTCCGTGCAGCACACCTAAGAATGTTCAGGCTTTGAGGAGAACTGAAGAGGCAGCCCAGCCCTCCAGCACTTTTATTTTGGGAGGTTGTTGGCTTTGCTTTGGTTTCTTTTTTTTTTTTGGTTGTGCCGAATGGCTTGCAGGATCTTAGTTCCCCGACCAGGGATCAAACCTGGCGCCCTGGCAGTGAGAGCGTAGAGTCCTAATCACTGGACTGCCAGGGAATTCCCTGGAAAGACAAAAGTACAGCAGCTCCCCACTCATGGCACTTCCATTCCAGGATCTGGCATGGAGAGAGGATAGTGGTGGAGGTGGAAGGTGGATGGGATGGGGAGGATCTCAGAAATGGAAAATTGGGGAAGAGAATCATGCCACGTTCTACTTTTGTATTCTCTGTCTCAGCCCAAGGGAGCTGGAAATGAGGGTCGGGAGCAAGGGGTTTGGACGCAGATAATGGAGAGGGCAGGCTACCTTTGCCATGCAAAGGAAGGAACAGAGGTCCTTCAGAGAGCATGGACATGGCCTTGGGAGGAAGTGGAGAAGTGGGGACAAAGAGTTGTCAAGGGTAGGGGCAGAAATGGTGATGACAGAAGATGGTTTGTCAGCCTGACCCTCCATGCTGTCCCCAGCACAGGGCCTGGCACTGGTTGAATGAACGGATGGGTGAGTGAATGGATGATTAGCAAAAACTGCAGAGCTAAATAGACATTTCTCCAAAGAAGACATATAGATGGCCAACAGACACATGAAAAGATTCTCAACATTGCTAATTATTAGAGAAATGCAAATCAAGACTACAGTAAGGTACCACCTCACACTGGTCAGAATGGCCATCATTAAAAAGTCTACAAATAACAAATGCTGGAGAGGGTGTGGAGAAAAGGGAACACTCCTACACTGTTGGTGGGAATGTAAGTTGGTGCAGCCATTATGGAAAACAATATGGAGGTTCCTCAGAAAACTAAAAATAGAGTTGCCTTATGATCCAGCAATCCCACTTCTGGGCATATATCCAGGCAAAATTACAATTCAAAAAGAAACATGCATCCCTGTGTTCATAGCAACACTATTCACAATAGCCAAGACATGGAAGCAACCAAAATGTCCATCAACAGATGAATGGATAAAGAAGATGTGGTACATATATACAATGGAATACTACACAGCCATGAAAAAGAATGAAATAATGCCATTTGCAGCAACATGGATGGACCTATCATACGAAGTGAAGTAAGTTAGAAAGAGAAAGACAAATATCATATCACTTATATGTGGAATCTAAACTATGACACAAATGAACTTACCTACGAAACAGAAAGGGATGCACAGACATAGAGAACAGACTTGTGGTTGCCAAGGGGAAGGGGGGAGGGGGAGAGATGGAATGGAGTGGGAGTTGGGGGTTAGCAGATGCAAACTATTATATAGAGAATGGATAAACAACAAGGTCCTACTGTACAGCACAGGGAACTATAGTCAATATCCTGTGATAAACCATAATGGAAAAGAATATAAAAAAGAATGTATATATATGTGTAACTGAATCACTTTGCTGTACAGCAGAAATTAGCTCAACGTTGTAAATTAACTATACTTAATTAAAAAAAACCAAAAGCTGCTGCTCTCGATAAAGATGAAGGCAGCAGGGCAAAGCAGAGAGAGACACAGGGAAGAGAGTAGGAGGGCACTCAGGGTCCTGCCTGGAAGGGCAGGGAGACTCCAGGTGAGGGCTCCAGAGCCAAAGATCCTTGATGGGGAATTGAGGGTTAAACTTGCACTCGACTTGAAGTGACCCCAGAGCCCTGGCTGACTTGAGACACGATGAAACACTTACCTGCAAGCAGCATCAAAGAGCCCATGAACTGCAGGAGACACCTCACAATTCTCTTGAAGCATGTGGGTTAGAGGGATTTGAGACAAAA